GATTGCAGCAGTGGCCGGGAGATCTTCTTGGGTCTTCAAATCCGAAGACCAGTGGACCTTCCTTGATTGCGAGGAGAGGTGGATCTGGAGGGGGAGGACAGATACTCCTCATACTTCTGCTGGTCGAACTCATATTCGACCTCTTCTTCAACCGGGATGAGAATCCGAGGTTGTGACACATCAGCCTTTGCAGAAAGGTTGTCGGCTCCCACTGCGGTCGTCAGCTTGTTTGGGTCAAAAGTTGATATTTTCATTAGTGACGAACTCATTACAATTTCAGCCATTACAATAAGTTCAAAAAGGAAAGAAAGTCGATCTTTTTATAAGATCTCCTTTACACAATGAAAATAAAGATTACAACTCTTGTCAAATAGCGCAACGGACGTTTATCACCCGCTGCTTGCGTGGGAACTTTTCCTGTGCCGGGAACGTTAATATCCGTGGACCACCGCGGATTAGATCCGGTTAGCAGAAGTTGGATAATTAATGCTCTCACTTCACGAAGGAAGTAATTGCAGTAGCGGCGATTTTGACTAAGCAAAATCACGGCTCTTCTCGGGATTTAAGACCAAGCTTAAATCCGGCGGATCAGATCCGGTTAGCAGAAGTTGGATAATCAATGCTCTCACTTCACGAAGGAAGTAATTGCAGTAGCGGCGATTTTGACTAAGCAAAATCACGGCTCTTCTCGGGATTTAAGACCAAGCTTAAATCCGGAGGAATAGGAGACGGGTCTCAGATCTCTCGAACTCCACTCTTTATACACAGGAGATCGCCAAGATCTGCTAACCCTCTCTGAAATTCGTGGCTATGCACTTGAGAAACTGGCAGCACCTCGCCCTCTTGATCTCCTCCTCTTGAGAAATGAGCACCCGAGCTCGTATTTATAAGCTTCGAAAGTGGGTATTTGGNGACTTGTCCTGTCGTTACGCGTATTTCGTCGTTTCGTTGACTTGTACGCTTTCCCGATTCGTTTCGCGAACACATGGATAGTTTGTTGATGGCCGATGAGCGTGCGGGCCACTTGGTTCGCCGATTTGGTGGCTGGTGAGTACACGGGCCACTTGGAGGTGGCCGATTAGCACGCATGCCACTTGGTTCGCCGATTTGGTGGTTGGTGAGTACACGGGCCACTTGGAGGTGGCCGGTGAGTGTATAGGCTATTCGGTTTGCCGTTTCGCTTCATGTGTTCATCGGCGTTGGATAATCCTCTTAGACTTAGATAGTGGCGTTCATTGCCTTCTCTCTACCTCGAGCTGTGTGTGGATACCTATAGGCATTTTTAGATGCCTACAGATACTCATGCCTTAATTGTAACTGGAATTTTATTAGATTTGACAATTTTGTACATGATATTTACAATAAAAGAAAAGGGAGAAGCTTGTGCATTAAATCTCACAGTCATTAAGGGGGTAAAATAAATATTTGACTTACAAAAACATTCAATTTTCCGGCACTTTTGCAAGCCAATATGAAGCATTGCAAGCATATCTTTCCCACCTAGTTGTACAACCTGCAATCACATTCAAGTAATTCAATAAGTTTCAAGTATAGTTTGATATGAACTAATTTAAGGAAGACTTAACACTACAAATACAGTGCATGCTATAAATTCATAAGAGATTCATATTGCTTGTCAGGGACATTTCTCTACTCTTACTCACCAGAAAAGAAAAAGTAGAGTCAAAGCGACCAACACTGGAGGCAAAACAAATGAGATATATTCATATTGTTTACTGAGAATGCATAGGCACACTACTGACAATAAAAAGAAAGGAAAAATATCAAAGATGATGATTTTTCAGTATAGCATAGATATAAGATATATTATCATTCTAGAAAAATTAAAATCTAATATCAAATAGATTACAAATGAATCAAGTTCACAAATTTTCCAAAAATCAGATTTTATTTTTGTTACCTACCAACATTTTAATTACCAAAGATTTTATAAATCATCAAAATCAGCTCTTGCATCTCTATAAATATGTAAAAAGAACAAACAAAATGCATAGCTTATTATAATAACCATCAAAATCTCACAAAATCAAATGTGTAATTTCTCAATTGAATATATGGAGGACACACAAAATTATCATAGAATAATTGCTATATTAACTCCATTTTCAAAAGAAGAATTTGCATAATACATGATACTCTTTATGCTATATAATTTGATTACCAAAAATTACAGATGGGGTGATTTGATTACAAAAAATTACACAACACGATACTCTTTATGCTATATGATGGAACAATATAGTGATTTTGACGCAAAGAACTGCACCTTATGTAGATTAAACTTCACATCTCCAACATTCACAATGATGTCAGTTGCCAACCCAGTTGTCACAAATCTGCGAAGATCAATACTACTTAGGCATGTAGCAACACATAAAGAAAAGTAATAAACTCAAAAACATGAGTAATTGTTTACACGATGTAGAAGCAATACCTTACAATTCCGGCTAAGAGGTGAAAGAGCCTTTTTATCAATAGTAAGAAATCTATTTTTTAACTATTAAGCATAGAACCCAAAATGGAAAGAATAAATGTCGAGTGACTAATGGTTGGAAGAAGGGGTAAATTTCAACTAAGTATCATTTAGTTTGGAGTAATTACATGTACTTTGTGCATTTCAATTAACTAACACAAATGACTACAGAGGACTAATTACATAAATTGCTAAAATAAAGTTTGATCATTCAGCATAAGCATAGCATAGGCAGATTACCTTAAGAAGCCTACTAATCTGATTTATACGCCTATTTGGTGCAAACTAAAGAGAGAGTTTTTTTTAATACTAAGTAGGTACTCGAACTGATACCAGATAATGCAACATTAAAATAAGTCATTGATATGCACTTAAATATCTTAAGTGAAGACTTCTCAGGAGGTCACCCGCCCTAGACCTACTCACGCTTTGGAGGTTATATAATTCTCTTACGCATAACATTTCTATAACAAAATGTAAGCATTAATCTAGAATACTTTTGACAATTTTATTTATTTTCTATAGATCTTTATGAAAAGGCTAATCTAGACAAATACCAACAATAAATACACAAAAACAGGCCTAAAAAAATAAGCATTCCAAGTCGAATATATACTACGAAACAACAACGAAATCCATGAAAAGACTCACATTACACAGTCGTCGTCATCCTGAAAAGAATCAGGCTTTGACCCAAAGCTTCATAAACTTCATTGTGGTAGAAACTGAATCACTCAAGAGTCTAATTAGTATGAGCTCAAGACTAACCTTTACTTATAACCACCTAACCAACATCAACCAAGTGGTTTCATGCATCTCAAGGTACTCTGCAGCACATTAATAACTCTTTTTAGGTGAAGGCAAATAACAGTTGGTACAAATGATAAAATCACCTACAGATTCATGATAAAATCAGGTACAAATTCAACTTCAACCACATTCACAATTTCATATATTTGCACAGTTTTAACATAACATAATTCATAGTTAGCATATCAAATCAAAAGTAAAATAATGATGATCTCGGATCAAGATCAGACCTTTGAATTAGCTTGAAATTTAAGTTATATGAAGTAACTTGCATTAAAACATAAATCAAGCAAACCTCGAAAAAGGGAAACATAGAGTAATAACACTTCCTCCTCATGCAAACCATTGCCTATCAATTCAATATAAGCCTATGTCACTCCTCAACTTTCACCAAATAATTAAATAGTTAGCCCATGAAACTCCTCATGCATAATAAAAAATGATGCATGGTTTACTAAAAAATGACCGTAATCATCTCTAATACTAAGAAAATAAATGACTCTAATCATTTACATAATAAACAAATGATACTAATCAACAAATTGAAATCTTTAAAAGTGGATACAATTAGAATTCATTACATCATAGAGATACATAAATATATAAATAGATTGTTGGATCTATGAATGATATAGGAGTGATATAATTAATGCTTTGTGTCGTATCATATCCGGAAAGATGGTTATTTTTAGCAGATACAACAAAAATAAGTAGCTAATATTAATTAATTCTTCAATATATTTCCTCTAACATATTATAAACCCATTAAATTTTAAATAAAAATGAGAGAGGGTATAACTAATAACTAATAAATTAAAAATGAAAGAAAACCCATCATTTAGTTTGGAGACTCATCATTTAGTTTGGAGTAATAATTTTTAATCAATTTGAGCCTGAAGCAAAGAGGATAACTAAACACACAACATAAGTCAATCAATTGATATGATTAAAATCTTTAAAACCTGAAATTAGAAGAAGAAGGGGGGGGGGGGATAATTCTAAAAAGGGGGGGGGGGGGGGATAATTCGTACAAATAGTGAATAATTCCAATCATAAAAAGATATTGAACCTCCAATTTGTTAAAATTTGTTGATAACCAGAAAATATTGGTTTCTACCAAGTTAAATGTCTCAAAGTGCTTGCCAGGGCCGCATATTTATTTCCATTTCCAGAAATCTTAAGATATTTTCTAATTATTTCCTGCATGCATAAGTAATTGCAATTATTGAACAGAAAAATAGGAAATTAGAAACTAAAATTGCAAACAATCTGCACTTGTTGGGAGTAAGTACCTTACTTTGAGATCTCAACTCATCCACAAGAAGCTCCGATATAAAAATCCTAGGCAAAGGCAAGCTACATTTGTTACTGTACACACAAAGCTCTCAGCTTTTTTGCTGGAAACCTCAGTTCATCTCGTTGAGTATAACCAAAATCCAAGAATAATGTCGCAATGGAATCAATCCCATGGCCATCTACCTTCAAAATTTAGAAAAATAAGTATACCAGTAATAGAATCAAGCATTAAAAAACAAAATTTCTAGTCAAGTAAACTTTCTCCATGCTCGGGAGCGCCGATCTAAAGAACGATTGAGACTGCGAGCCCTGTGATATATTAAAAACAACAATTTATTTAAAGAACACCTCAATTCACGTTGCTTCTAAAACAAATATCCAAAATAAGAAAAGATCACCTTCGTGGTTATTCAGTTAGAAATCAGGACATTGTGCATTGCGCTCCCAATCCCCAAATCGAGTTGGCCCCGGCCTCCTGTTGTTCTATTTACGAAAACGCCGCTTTCGTCCTCTCCTTCGTCTTCTCCTTCCTTCGTCCTATCTTCACCGAGATCGAATCCTCCATCGTTCGATAGAGGAGGCGAGAGAGGAGAATCGACCTTCGATTTCTCTGAAGGTTGCTGCGGTGGTGATGAGCTTAGGTTCCTCTTTGATGCGAACATCATGGGAGATTGGTGATTGTTATGAAACCCTAATTTTGGCTTAGGAGACTCGAGGAGAGAGGAGAGGAGATGCTGGAGCTAGATCGCCATTATTATTATTATTATTATTTGGTTTTGATTCGGGGTCCACGAAGTGAGAGAGAGGGAGGGAGGGAGGGACGCCAATCGATACACAAATTCAACAGAGATTTGAAATTCAAAATTTTAGCAGAGATTTGAATTTCAAAAACTCTTTCTTCATTCTTATTTCTGAGAGAAATCTGTCAGTGGAAGTAAGAGGGCTCCACAATGAATTACTGTAGCATGAACAGTAATTCTCTGATCTTCCCATTTATATAAAGGAATAGATAAGAGATTTGTTGTTAAAACTTATAAGATACTCTATGACAATAAGAGAAAAGTATGTTACTATTCTTAAAGTCCATCTAACAATTTGATCAAAACTCTAAAATTGTGCTGAGGTTGAGGGCTATATTTTATATTCTAATATGTTCCCGCGGATTAAGTGCCCTTTTTATGGGGTGATGTCTTGTTAAAATCTATCTAATCATTACACCAAAACTTTAAAGATGGGTGATGCTACAGGGACCCAAAAACATGAGACCCTACATGGGACGGGTGAGGTGTCGGCTCCCTAAGTCATTTTTCTTTAAAGATGTAGTGAGGATTCATAGATATATTTATATATTTATATTCTAACAATATACAGCTCCCTCTTCTTTTAACAAGTGTCCATGACTACTCATTGGAAAAACCCAAAATGATTTTGTGTTAGGCTAGTGAACTCGGCTAACTCGCAATTGTCCCTTCAAAAATATTTTTTTCGTATTCTAAATAACCAGATGCAAACAATATTATGGGAGAAGATTCTAATTTCTAGAGAATGCTTCTGAGATCATGCAAGGTTCTGCTCCCGAGTAATACTTAATCTTGTGAAAATTTATTCTTAATCCATTATCAAAAAGTCCAAGAGAGAACTACTTTTAATTTAACTCTTGATTATATAATAAATGATTGTGGATGATTGTGTATTCAGATAGGATGTACCTAATTGGGTTTACTTTAAACTTGGGACCAAGGTTAAAGAAAGATAATTTTGCAAGATAGTTGTAGCTATGGTTATTCAAATAATTTATGAAACTGATGCAGAGTATCACCCTAATGGTGCCCTGATTGTTGACTATTGATCACGCTTGAATCCTTGTTGGGATCGCAAGTTAACTCACACTTAATTATGCGGTTAATTCTTGCGTGAATGCTCTTGCGAATTTGGGTTTTCTCTCACCTACTGCGGTTCAAATTTCGATAGTGCTCCTCCATCCGTTAGTAGCCTTTTGTATGGCGATCATTTAGGTGTTTCCTACCTCCGAAGTGTAAGATTGAAGTAGTTTTTTCCCTTTTAAGTGTGAAGTAGTCATTTAAAAAAACCAATAATTAGATTAAACGTACAATATATGCTTGCTTACCTCTTTTTTACCATTTTTTTCCATAAGAGAACCTTGGTTAGGGGAGCTTCAACCAGAGTGGCAACTTAAGTTCGAAGTTCTTTAAGGACCTCCGACTATTATGACAAATCCTCAGGAATATACTAATATCAATCTCACGAAAACACAAAAAATATCAAGAAGACGAAACACACAGATACACGTGCTTCGGCTTGTAGCTTACGTTCACAGGTGAAAGAGGAGGATAGCTTCACTAACAATTATGAGGAATACAATGTAGAGATCTCTCAATCACTAACCCCTTAACATAGCCTAAAAGTCTGATACAATCTCTCCAAGAGAGCCGTAAAAGGATGACAAATAGGCTTCACGACAGACCACTATTCTCTATTTCAAATTGGTGTCTTGGCCTGCAGGATTTTCAATTGATGTTAGCTGCAGCCGATTATCTACAAAAGACCCCTTGCTCCTGAACTAATTTATTAGGATAAGAAATTCAAACTAGAACTTGTTGGTCCTTATCTCTTGTAGTAAACAACCAATGTGATTTGAGTTCTACTAGAATTCAAACCAATGAAATTAACATGTCATCTACCCATATTACACCATGTGACTGAACCTAAAGAAACCTGTATATGGATTAAATGATAAAGCATCTAAAGCAAATATCAACAAATCTCCACCTTGATTTAAATACGTACGGAATTCCTCACTCAAAAAAAAAATTTACTCCACCTATTCCAACAGCCCTACAAGGCATTAAGTGCGGCATATATCGATCAAGTCCAAACCTCGCTTGGACTTGCCAACTGAAATAGGCCTCATTAATAAATAGATTGAATTTTCCTCACAACGGCTGTAATACTTAGGGAAGTCATCACCTAAAGTAACTCCTGATTAGCTAAATGACACAAAATTATCAACTGACAGTACATAAACTATTGTATCTTCATGTCTTCACCGTAACCGAATATCTCATCTAGACCAGTCTCTAGCAATAGTGTATTCCTATTTTTTATGCAGCTGTTGAGGTGCGCACTTTGTCTATTTGAACGGGATGTGGTTGCTAAACTTCCGTAGTTTTATCTTGTTGAAGAGCTAAATGATGAATTTCTAACTCCATCTTTTGTCCTACAGTGTGCACATTATTTTCATCAACTAAAACCGATGACCGTTTCTGGTGGAACATATCAGATTCATCAAACGTAACATCACGGTTGATAATAATCTTAAGAGACTTTGGATCAAGATACCACAATCTGTAGCACTTAACACCTGAAGCACAACCTAAGAATATGCACTTCTTTGCTCGAAGCTCAAGTTTTCCTTGACTAACATGTGCATATGCAAAGCAACCAAATATTCTTACATTAGAATAAATTGCAAGCTTACCGGACCAAGTCTTTGTTATAGTTTTACAACCAATAGTAGTAGATGACGACCGATTCACTAAGTAATAAGCCATATTCACCACTTTTGCCCAATATTCCTTACCTAAACCTGCATTGAACAACATATAATGAGTTTTTTTTCCTAAAAGAACTCTATTCATATGTTCTATCACTCCATTCTATTTCAGTGTATAAGAGACTTGTTGGCCTTCTTGTTTTGATGATGATTTACAAATAATTTATATCTAATATTGTTTGTCTAATGTTTGTGTTTTATATTTATTCTAGGCAAACAATAT